ATTTGTAGGCGCTGCACTTCGAGGATTGTCAGGGTATCAGGCTATCAGCATGATGGGGATCACCCTGAAAAACAGCCAGGAAAGCCACCTGACGTTCACCAGGTGCTCACACGTCAAGGCCAACTACATGAGGATAACCTCGCCGGAGGACAGCCCGGAGACCACTGGAGTTCACGTCGTCAGCTCGCGAAATGTTCATATCATGGAGGACTCCATCTCCACATGTACACTTTTTAATTTTCTGAAGAAATGGAGCTTTGCTCTGAATTTTTGAATGATACAGTTTGGCAGGCCAATCTGCGGTGTTTTACAGGACCGTAAAAAGGCTCACAAAGAACATTTTCTACCCCTTCTTTTTGCTTTTTTTAGGTCATGATTGTGTCTCGATTGTAGGCAATTCTACGGATGTGCGTCTAAGAGCAGAGGAGGAAAAATGTAGCACATATGGGTCCCATTTGTTAAAGACTTATAATGGAAATGGTAGATGGAGAGGCTGTTAGAGTGAGTAGCTAGTTTGACTAGCCAACTCAGATGGAGAGTTGACTATATGGAATATGGATGTTTGAAGAGTTTAATTTGAAGAGGCTGTTTGAGATGGTCTAAGCTAATTTGAACTTGGTGTGCTCTTCGAAGGTGTGTCCCCAACATAACGATGAAGTGACAATAGGCTTGTCCTCTAGTTATTACACCAACAGGAATTCGCTTTCATGGTGAACGTTACGATCGAGAGCAAACCCAAAAAAATTCATTGGCAGCAGTGCGTACCTGTGTATCATACTCACTACGTGGCATGTACAATTCGTAGAAGTTACTACCTCCGTTCCAGTGTATAATAAAGTTTAGGGGTGAACACGGTAATTAAAAGGTAGGTAGAATTAAATGGACAAAGGTTGTGATTGGATAGGAAGTGAGGACAGGTGGAGAAATTGAATGGTTAAGAATAAAATTTTGGTGGGGAAGTTATTATATTTTGAGGTAAATTCTAGAAACTAAAAATTGTTATATGTTAGGACGAAGAGAGTATTTAGTAAATTGTTACATTAGAGCTATAAACATTATTGTTTTTTCTAAACATGTAGTTCAAACATGTAGTTCTGTGATAGTTTAGTTATTAAATTTGTAGTTTCGTGACATTTCATCTTAAATTTATAGTTTTATAATAAGCTTGGTGCTAATTCTGTAGTTTGGTGATACACCTAGTTGAATATGTAGTTCTATTATAGTTTGATCAAAGTATGTGTTCGTTTTATAAAATTTTCTCTAAACAATTTGACGCATAGTGGGTAGTTTACCGTGTAAATTCACTACTTGGCACAAGTTTATAGTGGTGTCCTGAACATAAATGGACGCCTTTGTAAACTGAAGGTAAAGATCAAGATTTTTCTTTGCTACCTTCGTCGTGGAGTTGTGCTAACCAATGCAATCCAGCTAAACATAATCGGCAAGGCAACCAAAATTGTTATTTTGGTCACGATAAGAAGATAATTGAAGTACACATGTTCCTTGAATGTCATTTTGCTAACTTAGTTTGGTATCATATATGTCGTATCAAGAAGTACTCTATCACATAGTCTTTATTCTTTACTTGTTGGCTTTTGAGAGTTCAAAACTATTTACAACCATAAGTTCTATTAGGGGTGGCTGTTACTTGTTACTCGCTTTAGTTATGCTGGTTTTACAGAAAAGTTATTTCTTCTCACTACAAGAAAATTGAGCTATTGCCACCAAATTATTACAACAAAAAATAATTCGTAGCAATATATTGTACTATTGCAATGATAATTTTTCTGTGGCAAATAATTATATTTTATTGCAACAATCTACAATCGTTGTTTTATTTAGTACTTTTGTTGCAATAGAAAATGAGATATCGCCACAAAAAATCGTACTGTTGCAAAAAACATGTTCTATCGCCACAATTTTAATTTTTGTGGCAATTTACATAGTACATGGTACTTTTCACTATTTTTTGTTGCCACGATCAACAAATTGGTTGCAATAAAAAATTGTCGTCTCATAATTTAACTTAATTTTTTCATATGGACACGGACTGAGACAAATTTTATATGAAAATTATAGCTCTCGACGAGATCTACAATTTTATAGGTGATAACTTTTTCATTTGAAATATTTTAGATATTCAAATCTATGATTCAAATCTCAGTTAGGTAGGCTCAAATAGAATGATATGCATTTTTCAACAGAATTAATGCGTAAGTGAGTTGGTAAAGGGGAGCACGCATGAAGGATAGGTCTTGGGTTCGAATCCTAGCCAAGACATGATATCAAAAAAATAAATAGATAAATATATAGGATGATAGACTAGTATTTGAACTTTTAATTTGGTACATAAAACTAATGCCACATATGGAGTGGTGGCAATAATTTTTAATACAACGATGTGAAGTGTTGCAATATGACTTTTTGCCACATCCATTCCATGGCAACATCTAAATTTATTACCACTAAATAAAAACCGTTGTAATAACCTATTACTACGCTATTTATTACCACGGCTAGCAACGATTTTAAAATTGTGGCAACATGTATCTATTGCCACAATTTTAGTATTGATACCACGATTTTTTTCGTGGCAACAAATGATTTTTCTAGTAGTGTCTCCTGTGCAGGTTGCTTATTTAATTATCCAATGCGTACATGGATTAAGTGGTCATGGACTTTTTTTACCCAGAGCATAGGTGGCGATCTAGTGTTATGATTGATGGCTCATAATACTTCCTGAACTTGCTTTAATTTTCTTATAAACTTTTAGGTTTGTGTGTTTTAGCTGTGTATATCCTAGTTATACAAAGACCCGGAGTGTGCTCAATACTTTTGTATCATCTTGGTGAATTGGCTGAGTTCAATAAAAAACTTCCAGTATCAAACAAAATTTGATATAAATTAATGTGCATCTCCCATTTTCCATAAATATGCTCTGATTGTTTGAAAAAAAGGAACAATATCCATTTTCAAATTCTACATTAGAAAGGGTTTTTTATCACTGTTCAAACCTGAAAAAACCACAGAGAGTAGTTGTACTTAGATGTATGCAAAATCAGGAGCTATCATAGTAGTGGTGATTTCCTCTATTACCAATTTGGCTTGTTAAATCAGTTTCAAATTAATTTCATAAAATTTCCTTTCCTACTCCCATAATGTACCTCTGAGGCCCTGACCTCGCAATGCATCTCTATATATATTTCCAGACCACCTCATGTACGTGAATTTATACCGTAAGAAAAGCTTAATATATAGAGCAATAACTATTCAGCTTTTATTTACAGCAGGCATGCACGTTCATAATCCGGAAGACTCAGTGCATCTCTCGGTTCAGCTTTTATGCTTATATATACGCTCCATACAAAAATATTTTTTGTGCATTAATTGTGGTTCAACCAGATAAAATCAATAGCATTTCAGCTGGAACTTGCTCTATAAGTAGCGAGAATGGTATGTTTCATACCGGCTTCTGGAGAATGCTAGCCAACCAAACCTTCTCAAGAAGAATCTTACAGAGAGAAGAGATATATACAGGCACATGTGCCGCACCGAAACACCATCGAAATAATATATACTCCCTCCGTCCCATAATATAAGGGATTTTGAGTTTTTGCTTACAACGTTTGACCACTCGTCTTATTCAAAAATTTTTGAAATTATTATTTATTTTATTTGTGACTTACTTTATTATCTACCGTACTTTAAGCACAACTTTTCGTTTTTTACATTTGCAAAAAAAAATTTGAATAAGACGAGTGGTCAAACGTTACGAGCAAAAACCCAAAATCCCTTATATTGTGGGACGGAGGGAGTATATGCTAGGAGTATGAAGTTTCATTTAATTCGGGCACTTCACACCTCTCACAACGATCACATATTTTCTAGTGCAAACACTTTGGACTAGGAGACATCGGAGAACACAACAGCACACTGCTTATAAAACTTCCCGTTGTCCTTCTTGATGGAGCTAGCCTCTTCTGTACCATGTCTCCAACACTTTTTGTTGATACTATGTAGTGCAATTCAAGCCTAGGCCCATGTGTGTGAAAATGTAATCATATTGGATTAGCTAGCGCGATTCAGCCATAATGGAGATTAGTTAGCGTGGGTCAGCTATGGCATGCAGAGGATTTGTTCTCTTCGGCGTTGACGCTTTCAGGGAGAAGGCTAGCTGAAAGCATGCCGTGTATCTACCAACTTGTGGAAACACGTTCTATAGGTGCAGGTGTGATGCTGAATTATAATGAGTGGCACAAATTCAGGGAAAAGTGGTTGCATGCTGAGTAAGACTTGAGAGCATTGTGGATGCGCGTGCTTTTGGAAGTGCGCTGAGGGGAAAAGTGAAACTATTTCGATCCTCGAGGGTGTCCTCCTGTTTGTTTAAAAACCATTTAAACGTTTATGAAATATTTGGAAAATAAATGATAACTGTAGCATACCTAAGCCTGTAAACCTGAGAACTAAATTTAATTTAAATGCATCATGTGGTTGTGGAGTGATTTTAATTGTTTTTGGATCTTAATCATCTCATCATCACATGCATCTGGATGAGTGGCACACCCTGAATCACTCTCTAACCCTTTCTTCTCTCCCTCCAAAAATCCAATCAGCTGTTAACTGCACTGTCAACTGCTGCTAACTAACACTGTCAACACATGTTCATCACTCCATCGAACCTAAACCAGAGACTTCTAACCCAACCCACTTCAGCACATTTACTCTCCACATCACCCCCGACCAAGAGGATCTCTAGCCCAAGTTTCTTGCTGCACAAAATCCACCTTGAATCCCCTCCAAAGATCCTTGGCAGGCAACCCTCTTTGACTTAGCCTCCAAGGCTATTTTCGGATTTCTTTCACTGACAGTTGGCCCCACACCCCCTGGGACCCACATGACAGCCTCCCACTCTCCCCTCACAGCATCCACCGTCCCCCATGCCCAATGGATGCCCAAGGAACACAATGAGTGCACCAGCCACCTCTCTCTCTCACTCCCCCCACTCCACTCTTCTTTATTTCCCAAGCCAAAGCACCAGAAGCAACGGCACACTCCCCACAACGCGTTCCAAGTCCAAGAAAACACACCCCACACACAGAATGCCCAGAGCTCGGCCATCTTCCCCGGCTCCGGCGACTTAGCCGTCGTCGCCGTGCATCCCCGGTGAGTCCCTCTCTTCCCTCCTATGGAACGTGACCTACGCATCACGCCGAGCTCACCTGTACCCCTTTTGCCCTAGGACCAATCTGTCGAGTACGTGGTGGGCGTCACCGTCCTCACCGCCGGCCACCCGAACCGCCGACGCCGCTCTGGCCGCCGTTCCTCACCACCGAAGCAACACCAAGCCGATGTACTTCGTCAGCAAGCTCGCCTCGACCCCATCGAGGTTCGACTGAAGCCGATCGAGCCGACGCACTCTGCACCGCCGGAACATCACCGCCCTCCCCCTTTTCCGGCCATCCGCCGCCGCCGGCGAATCCTCCCACTCCGGTGAGTTTCCGCCGGATTCCTCGCGCATGCACCCTCTGTGGCTCATCCCTAACACCCTCGTACTCTCGAAGTTGCAGTTCGCGCCTTGAGTCGACCCGGCGACGTCGACGCTGGAGTTTTGCCGCCGTGGGCCAACAACCACCGTCTCCGCCGCTCCTTGGACCTCGCTGCCTCCGTTTCTTTGCTTGGTGAGAACCCTGGTACCATATGAGAGCACATGCACTAACCCTTTTGCACTAACCAAGCCTCTGCATGCACTCATGCACATACATGGGCATACCGACACACACTGCCGCTGTAGCTCATGTTCCATGGGCTACAGATCACCATTTCCCTCACCACCACCACTCACGGATGCGCAAGAACGTTCTCTACATTTTCTCTTTTGTGCTCGAACCGATACGATCCACCGATCGCCGCCGGTGAGCCGTAGACCGAGCTCAGCCATGGCTGCTCCCGATGTGAGCTAGCTGGGGACTTCATTTGTTGAATTTGGTCGACTCTAGGGTCCAATCTGAAAACTGCCATGACTCATATTACTATAGCAGCACCTTGATGGAAATAAACAAAAGAATAGGGACTCTTAATAAAGTTTTCTGTCCAGGTGGCAGAACGAGTGCGGGATGATTCCCCCAACTTCCGAGGGCCTCTCTGCAAATCTCCTTTCACTGACATGTGGACCCGTCTGGAATTCAATTTCGAAAATTGATTTCTAGTTTGGTTTAAAGCAGAGAATGAGCAGAACTTCTAAAATTTGTAAAAAATTCATTTTAACTTCAAAAATTGTGAAAACAGTTTTTTTAGATCCATAAAGCTGTGAACTATTTTACAAAAATATAAAACTGGGTACTTTATGTACAAAAGTTTCCTTTATTTTTGTTTTGCCATAAATGTTGCCTAGAACTTGTTAAATCCATAACAAATTGAATATAGCTCTAAAAATTGTGAAACCACTTCTGTTAAATTTCTAAAATCATGATATGTAACTTTGTAAAAGGAATTTTGTTCACTTCTGTACAAAAATGTTGCTTAATAAAACTTAGCCCTTTTTAAACCTTTTTAATTGTAAAATGCATATCTCTGTAAATAAAAAGTGACAAAATATAAATTCCTTCACCAGAGACCACCTGAGACCAACACACACTCACTGCATAAGTTTCATGCATTTTGGTTTTTATGCATTTTTGTATTTATCGTATACGCGTATTTTGTATAGAGGAAGAATACGTCGAAGAAGAAGAGGGTGAGTTTGCTGACGACCAGGTTCAGGAGTTTGCAGACAAAGGCAAGTTTGCCCCTCCTTTGACCACATTGATCCTATGTTTGATTGGGCTAAATGATTCTATTGCAAACATGCATACGTTAGCTAGTATTAATTTTGGTAAAAAAATTATATAAATGTGGGATTGGTAGATATGACCTAATTGCTGCATAATCCACCTTGAAATATTGAATCCTTGCTGGTTGTAACCATAGAGTGCTTTTGAATACAATTATTGTGTTCTTTGGGATTATACTATGCTTATATTCGGTTACCGCCTTGCAAATTACTCGTTTTGATAAATGGTATATATGAAAATGGTTATTTTGATGTTGCTGGACAGAAATTTAAATGTGTGAGTATTGTGAACTGAAAATGGAGATAACTTGCTTTTAGACTTGGGCGGCGAGTGGTGTACATATGGTAGTAGTTGTACACCGATAGGGGGAGCGTTCGCTCGGGTCGATTAAGGACCCCACTCTATGTCACCAACTAATGAAAACAGTACAAACCACATGTGCTAAGTATGGGCTGGCCTCAACCTATTAAGTTGTTTAGAGTTAGTCTTGCATCTTGGTAGGCCGAAGGGTATGGGTTACCGGGTTTTGGTAACTTATCCGAACTTCCTATGGTTTGTGATATGATGAAATTGATTAATGACATGTGGTATGTGATGATTTGAGCGGGTAGTCTGTCCAATACAACGGTGTTGTGCCTCGTGAGGGATTCCGGGCTGGGTTCCTTACGGCGCTAGGTTAAAGCGTGGGCCCGCTACCTAGTTGCACTACCTTGCTAGTAGCGTGGGTAAAACACACATCGTGCTGGTGCAAGGCTAGACAATAAACAATGTAACAGTTTCGTTATGACCTCTAGATCACACTCAATATGTAGAGTGTGGTGATACCGACAGGTATCGAACAAACTAGAGCGATCCATATCATGTGGGCTTAAAAGTTGTACAAACTCTGCAGAGTCTAAAACTAATCGATTAGCCGTGCTCACGGTCATGAGCGGCATGGTGAAGTGTCACGAGTATAGTTGGTGATTTTGATAAACTCTTGTGAACTTGGAAAATGGTTGGAATGTTTTGTTTGTGAACTTGGGTAAAGTTCGGTGAATGGTGATGAGATGATGGCGAGTGGTGATGATCTACCTTGAGGGGTAGATGTGTGTTATTTATCCATTTACATTACAGGTTTTACTTACTCTATACTATTGTTATAAAGTTCCGTTGCGGAACATGTTGTGAACTAAAATTGGCATTTATGCAAATTAATCTATACACAGCTTATCCTTGAATATGGCCAACATGTAGTATGCTAGGGTTATTTCCGACTTGCCAGCACATTAATTTGATTAATGTACTGATTTATTGCCTTCTTTTACTTGTTTTTGCTCAGACCCCGCTGCAGGTAATGATTGTTTGGATGAGGAGTTTGATGCAGCTTGTGATGTTGCAGAATTCCAGGATGGTTCTAACTAGGGATTTACCTTAGTTGGTTTGCCTATGGGCTTTTGGGTAGCACGTTTACCGCATGAACCAATATTTATGGCTTGACGCCAAGTACTACTTAGAACCTTATTAAGACTAATTATGCTTATTGCTTAGAACCCTTATCAGTTGGATATCATGCTTGAGATGATTTATGTGAGACTATGTTGCATTCCTAGGCGACTAGTCCCACATGAGGATGGGTTTGAAATGGTTGAGATATTGTTAAGATCGAGTCTCTGGGGTACGCTTTTGGTCGCCACCATCGAGTGGTTGACGGGCGTATGACGTAGATGACTGGTGTGGCTATTCCAACGGTTGTGTCTTCTATTTCATATAAGATGGCTTAGAGCCTATGTAGTGCACTCTTCAAGACATGTCGGGGTCTGCGATGAGGTTGGATGGTTACCGTATTTATTTGGGCTTTATTTGAGACCCCATCCATCTAGATATTTCGCGCTGACATGCCTCGGAGCGTTGCACCACCTAGGCTTTGGGACATCCTCACACTTAGGTTGTTGAGTAGTATTTGTGAAAATTTTGGTAGGGTTTATTATTGCACCATCAAGTTTTAATAATTTACTCTAGCCTTTGTATGCATATGGAACCTATAATGAGATGCACCAAAAGATCCAAAAACAAGCCCAAAATAATAAAATGCACATACAATCAAGTGTGTCCTATTATCATTTTAGTTTACATATTTTAAATCCTATAATCCCGTTTGTTTGTATTTAATTAAAATATGCTAATCAAGTTCAAAAGAAATATCATGATAATTGAAATTTAAGTTAAAGTTACATACATGATTTATAATGGTCTTACTTTTGACTTAGTCCAAGGAAAATGATGTGTTCAATTTTTTATAGTAGGAATTAAGCTCTAAAGTATGCTTCAATGATCTTAAAAAAAAATTAAAACATTAGAATTCAAAATTTTTAAATTTTCCATGAAAATTTTTCATAAGCGAATTTTTGGTATGTTACATCTAGATCCCTAGAAACTAACCTGCAATTAATCATAATTAAGGATAGTATCGGAGTTTTAGCCGATCTTATCTAATATGCATGATAGAACATGCATCATGATCTGTTTTATTTATATTTGCCACTTATATAGATACGTCACTCTATACAAATATATCGAGTATAGATTAATATCGGCTGAGTTGCTAAACTTGGTGATTGATCGCTATTCGATATATTTTTCTTAATTGATTTGCTTATATAAGTTTGTACTAGAGTAATTGCTAGTACATTATCTTTATCTTATCTTTTCGCTCTAAATACTGTGTTATCGGCTATTTCTATAATATCATCTAAAAAGATTAATGAAACCTAGTAGATGATATTACAGCTGATAGGGCATATTTGGGTTTGTCTTACATGATTATCAACTTATAGTTGATTTGGGATAACCACATCGGCTAGATTTATTATCGATACGTCATCGGCTCATCAGCCCGATCAGCTATTGGTCATTTAACTCTGTTTCCTTTATTTTCTTACTGGTTGCAGGATCAAACCAGTTGGTACGCCCTTAATCCGCGAGGCAAGCCTTGGACCTGCACTAGAGCTAAGCAGATTTCCCAGGCCGTCTTGTTTTCCGTCAACACGCCTACACACATAGACCAAACAACCGATCGATTTTGGGTACAAATATTGCAAAACTGACCCACATTAGTCATACACACTCACACCAACAATCCAAATGAAATTTCCAAGAAGACTAACACATTGTTTTCCAATTTTTATACCAAGTTTGCATCACAAATAAACCAAAAGATACACTTGGTTTTACAATTTATCCCTTGATATTGAAACATTGGGAACCGCAATCTAAGTTTTTGAAAATTGAAAGCATAGGAATTTTACAAGTGACAAAGGAAAGTACAAGGGACGCACTTGGTTTTTATAGCTCTGTTTGTTTTCAAGCCTCTAACCTCTTGCAATTAATAGCTTGACTTTGACTTTGACTTCCATGCTGCGCTAAGCACTTGGGATTGCAGCTAAGAAAGTCGCAGCCAAGAAGTATATAACGCGAATGTGAAAACGAGATTACGGGGCAAATATATTAAGGGGTGACAATAAAGCAAATGCAAACTTAGCTTTCTCCAAATTTAATTAATGATCGATGATCTGACTCTACGCTTCGTTTACTTTTTTTTTTTTTTTTGAAAACTGTGGTCTGAGATGGCTGCTTCGTTTAGCCTATAAAAGGATGCTTTTCTCCTTAGTAGTAATTATAGCATTTGTACCCACAACTCCCCTCTTTGAGTCCCTCTGTGAGCTTCCAACATGGTAGAGCCAGTGACCGCTAGTGCCGCAGTGGGATGGGGCATATCAGCTGTTGGTTGGGTAGTCTCGCCCATCATCACCAAACTGCTCGGCGAAGGCTTCTCCTTCCTTGGTTTTGAAACAAAAGAGAAGCTAAAAGAACTCGAGACTAAAGTGTTAGAGCTACAAATGTTACGAGAAGTAGTCGAGGAGAGTCCTCACAGGGCTCGTTTGATGAAATGGTCGGAGGAACTTAAATCTGCTTTGTACGACGCTGAAGACATCTTCGATGATGTTGAGTATAACCGCCTCGAAAGGCGGATTTTGTCTGAATCCGACGACATGCAGGAGTCGGACTTCAGGGCTCGTCCTGCCCTGTCCTGCGTCAAAGGAAAACAGGTACTCCCTCGGTTCCAAAATATAAACACTTACTCCCTCCGTCCCAAAAAAAGACAAACCCTGGTTTCCGTGCCCAATGTTTGGCCATCCGTCTTATTTGAAAAAATTATAAAAAAAATTAAAAAGTCAAGTCACGCACAAAGTATTAATCATGTTTTATCTTCTAACAACAATAAAGATACGAATTATAAAAAAATTTCATATAAGACGGACAGTCAAAGTTAGACACGTAAACCCAGGGTTTGCTTTTTTTTTGGGACGGAGGGAGTATATACTAGTATTAGGCCTTGTTTAGTTTCCAATTTTTATTTCACAAAAACGTCATATCGAATCTTTGGACACATACATGCAGCATTAAATATAGATAAAATAACTAATTGCACAGTTGGCATAAAAATCGCGAGACGAATCTTTTGAGCTTAATTAGTACATGATTAGCCATAAGTGCTACAGTAACTCACATGTGCTACTGATGGATTAATTAGGCTTAATAAATTCATCTCGCGATTTTCAGATGAGTTATGAAATTAGTTTTTTCATTCGTATCCGAAAACCCCTTTCGACATTCGGTCAAATATCTGATGTGACACCCAAATTTTTTTTTCGTGAACTAAACAAAGCCTTACTTAACAAAGATTAAGAATAGAAGTATAGATTCTTTTTCAATCATCCTATTAGTCAAATTTTGTACATAAAATTTGAATCCTAGAAATTTGGGAACGGAAGTTATACTTTCATATACATCAAGCCATGTCGACATCTATATATATTTACCATCAATTACCTCTACCCAAGAGGAGAGACGAAAGTAAAACCAGGGAAAGTGGTGATTAATTTGTTGACATGATGAGCTCAAGTAGATGGAGAAATAAATAAGCAATTACCATGATTGGTAATTAGATATATAGGTGGAAATAGGTGGAGACATGGTTATATTATTTTGGAACACTTAAAACTAATTTTTTAAGGTACTCATGTTCACGGTTAAAATAAACGGGTTAGGTAAACTTGACATGAGATAGCTGAACGGCATATCAGTAATTATTAGGGCATCTCTAAGCAATTTTTGCCGTCTACTCCCCCGTCCAAACAAAAAAAAGACAAACACTGTGTACATTTTTTTAACGGAGGAAGTATGTTTTACCATATTTTAAGTCAATATTTAATTGTAACATAACTTTTCAGTAGAAATTAAGCTCTTAATATTTAGTTTCATTCATATTTAAGTCTCTACTTGAAACTACTTTCATATAATACTATGATAATTTATTATTAGTTGTTGATAATATATGCTAGAAATGAATATGGTCAGAATTCTACACTGGATAAAAAGGTACTTAATTACATGCAGTCTAATTTATATATACCGGAGGGTGTATAATATAGATATAGGTAATAGAATACAATATAAGAACTGGCTTTAAATCAATGTAGAGCCTTCCTTTTTGTTCTAAAACATATTTATTTATAAAATTCTAAACCACTGATTGTAGAATATTTTTTCTAGTACAACGTACAGACCGATCAATGAATTAGATATTACTTCCACATGTGATAATATAGGTTATGAGATACTACCGGTAATATTTGTTTATAAAATAAATAAATAATAATATTTGTTTTCCGTACACGTTATACATCAAGGGTGTCCTTTTCCTACCCAACAGATTTATGAAAACGGATTCTTCGGACATCACGCTAGCTGAAACGTATAACTACCAAGGCTAGCTAAAGGATTAAATTTAGAAATTATTCAACAAAAAAAATATGCTAGAAACTCCAAAAATTACAAAAAGGCATCTGGCCTTAGAGAAGTTGCTCCAATTGAGAAAACAATACACAAACCACACAATTAAAAAAAGAAATTTACTAATAACAGTTACATACCAGCCAACTATTGTAGCAAGACAATATTTTCTCGCAGATTCAAGATCACGTAATGTTATCAAGTAATCCTTTCTAAGTGTACTTACAAGAAAATCATAGTCAATGCTCAAGGAAGTCCCAACCAAATTATTGATAAATTAATACCATTCATAGAGGATTTATGCCGTGCACAAGTGTGGGATGTTATTTAACATTGCTTAAAATTTTATAACTTTAAATATGTGAATGTTTATGTACAATGACTTATGGAATTTGAATATGTTCTATTTTTTCTTAATGCGCGATCAGTTTTCGTACCATACGGAACATGCATCTGTACATATAAAAAGTTTTTATACTACAAAAGTGTATACACATATATATAAAATTTAGAGTAAATTCCAAAAAACTAAATTTACTTTGATCAAATTAATTATCATAAAACTATAGATTTAAGGTGTTGTATCACAAAACTACATATTTAATACAAGATTTGTTCACAAAACTACATATTTACTATAGATTTAATACTAGAGTTATCACAAAACTACATAGTTTACAGCTTAAATCCCAACCACTACTGCAATGTTACAGTGATAAATGTTGTAGTTTTGTACTTAAGATGATGCAAAACATGTACTGTTGTGATAATTTTATTACTAAAATTGTAGTTAATTTTGTGCTCTTCCACCTTAAATCTGTAGTTCTTTGAAAAATTTGGTCCTGAATCTGTAGTTTTGTGATAGTTTTGTCAAAGTAGTATATGTAGTTTTGGAAAATTTACTCTAAAATTTATATATAAAAAAATAAAATTATACACACACACACATACCTAGTTTATGCACATATATTTTGTATATATACCATGCAAATGTTATATATATACTCCCTCTGTTTTATATTATAAGACTTTTTACTAGTCAAACTTATAATATAAAACAGATGGAGTACATGCATACATACATATACATGTATACATATATGTATAGGGGACAAAAGGGGGAGTTGACTTATTTTTTATTTGAAAGCACACCTACGTATACAGAATATTTTTTGACATATATCCACAGTTTTACTAAGTACTGCCGGTGCTACTACGACCACTTCTAACCTAAAAAAAAACATACAGCACCACATAGCCTTTATATATTCGAAGAAAACAATCAAATATGCAAAAAGGAAAGAAATTGCTGATATTTTGCCTTATCATGCCAACCAATTATGTAGGCTATTGATGTGCTAACATACGAAAGCCCTTTAAAGTTATTCAAAACTATGGAGGAAATACGAAATTGTTTATTTACATAGGAAAAAAAATCCGACCTTCAATATACCCTTAATTTGGTTGTCACTAGGCAATTAGACCACAAGAACTTTGAGTTCCTTGCTCATGCCATTGTCACTTGCAGCAATATTACACGGTATATATATACAAATGGTATGTATGATAATTAGCTAGCGGTAGTTTATTATTTACTCGATGCAAAGGTTGTATAAACCTATCCATCTTCTATTGAAAATTCTGTAAATGGGCTTTTAGATATGTTATGAAAAAAGACCATTGAATCGATTTAGTAGGACATTGTCATTTGTCCTTCATCTACAAAGACATAATTTCAGAATAAACTCTAATATTACATTCAATAATATAGATACCTGTGCATACGCGCGGGCCACCTTCCTATTAATACAATAATTGTAGAAAAAAAAGAGTCTAAGTAGAAATACAATTTAGAAATAACTAAAAGAAATTAACTAAAAAGAGTCTAAAATTTGGAATAGAAAAATAAAAAGAATACCAAAAGAACGATCAATCTGGAACACAACATGAGATTGACTAAAATCCAGAATAAGAAATAAACTTCAAAATCAGATTTCAATATGAATTCCAAATGAAATAAAAAATAATTAAAATTAAAATAAGTATATAAGAAAAACTCACACTACTAGGAGAATAAACATAATAGTTCAATTAGGAATACAGCCTTTTAAAAAAGTAACAAATTTAGAATTTAAAAGTAAGGATTTTGGAAACAATAGTCCAACTATAACAGAGCATAAGTTTACATCAAATTCGGAATAAAAAATATAATAAAGTGAAAATTGGATTTAAATTCCAGATAAACTTTAAATGTCATGAATATTCAACAAAATAAAATAGTCTTTTAAAAAAGTAAAGATACATACCAAGAATAATCCATAGCAAAATACAATATATAAGTATTCAAAATTTAATAGTAATTCAAATTCGGAATAGTAAATAAATAAATTCTGAAATTAGTTTTCAAGACTAGTTCCGAATAAACTTTAAAAAATCACTAAAAATCAGAATAAACTAGGAATACTATTTAGAAATAAGTTAAAATTAGTACGAAATTACACTAATTACATATTAGGATATAAAAATAAACATGTGGTTGCAATTGATATATGGGCCTTAAAAAACCCACCAATGTTCACTTTGGATAAAGAAATTACGGATTATACCACATTAATTAATGAAACGAAGGCTGCACCATACGGTGAAACTGGATTGTAAGATTGTAGATAAGAAAATAAATAGATAGAGTTCCAAACAAAACACATAATACATGAAAATACATTTATGATAAATTTAGTAATGTCATTTTGACATATTAGTGTTTTTTACAATAGGCAGTGAGCAATTTTTGAAAATGCTACTCATAGTTTAATTTAACTATTACATAATCTATATTTTTAGTTTATTTATATTTTTCATGGATGTTTCGATGACATCCACTAGTTTAGAATACAACTTGAAATAAAGTATATTTTTTGCAAATTAAAGGATTGTTAATATGGTCTTCAATTATTAGTTTGTTTTTTCATCTAATCTAAATGTGAAAGAAAAAGAGAAAAATCAGGACGTTAATGATGTACATTGTTTTGCATGCCCTAGACAAGCTCAACCAATAAGCTAGATAGAACGAAGCCTAAGTATGAGATAAAGAACATAGACAGTGTCAAAAGAATTTTCTAATAATACATTAATAGAGAAACACAAAATATATGAAAATACATCTATTTTAAATTTTGTAATATCATTTTGATATGTTAGTATTTTTTATAGTAGGGAGTGAGTAAATTTTGAAAATACTACTCACAGTTGGAAATGTTTTTATTTTTTAAAATGCAAGTCTAATTTAACTATTATAATCTATATTTTCAATTTATGTATATTTTTTTTATGATGTTTCGACATGCGCCTAAGAATAGAATTCGAAATATCATATGCTTTTTACAACTTAAATTATAGTTAATATTGGCTTGAATTATTAGTTTTGGAAAGAAAAAGAATACGTGGGACCTGGCATGTGCATACCTACATGGCTACATAGATACATGTAGAATGGAACGGCATTATAATATGGGGCTTTTTAGATAAATTTAATGGGTAATGGTTCGACCAGATTAAATAAAATCAACTTTTATTTGCTTTTGTCATAGAAATTTTAGGATTTATTAGAGCGCCACATGACGGTCTAGAAGTATTTATATGTGTACTATGTTTTCTAGGATTTATTAGAGCTACACATGATGGTTTCGGAGTATTTGTACGGGTACTATTTGGTGGCTTAAAAACATTTATAGGAAATTTAATAGAATTTTAAGTATATAATAGATGTATAGATAGATAGATTTTCTATAAATTTAGTCAACGTTGGATGAGTTTCACTTAATATAAAACTACAACACCTTTATAAATATATAGAATGTTTGGAGTATACGGTACTCCCTCTATCATCACGTAAGCAAATAACGCAGAGACCAAATACAATTGGGATGAACTACGAAAGTATATAGTATTGGACTTGCGTTCCCTTAGGCTTTTTATGCTACTACCGAAGTTATCATAAAAAATCCATATTAAAAACCTGACCTGTTATTTTTTATTTCACAGGTGTGTGGTACCAGCTCAGACCACCATGGCATGTCAAAATCAAAGTTGAAGAAAATCCTAGGTAACATAGAGAAAATTATTAACGAAGGACACGATATTTTGAAGCTTCTGGATTTGAAGAAGGCGGTTGCTACCAATTCACGAGCTGCAGTAACTACTTCGGCTCCTCCAAATGTTGTATTTGGTCGAGATGAAGATCGTAATAAGGTCATAGCAATGCTTCATGATAGATCAGGTGATGAACAACCAAACTCCAGCAGTGCTCTAAATTATTCTGTTATTGGTATTTATGGCATCGCTGGGTCTGGAAAATCAACCCTTGCACAATATGTTATTGCCCATGAGAAAGAGCTTAGGCGGGAGAAATCACCTGGTCATTTCGATCTTATCATGTGGGTTCATGTTTCTCAGAAATTTAGCGTGAATGCCATTTTTACTGAGATGCTTGACGCAGCCACAGAGAGAGGGGGGCATCAGTTCAGTAATCTTGATACCCTACAACAGAAACTGGAAGAGGAATTGAATGGAAAGAAGATCCTGTTGGTACTAGATGATGTATGGTACCATGACAGTGTGAGCCAGCTGCAGCTAGAGAAGATAGTTTCTCCGCTGAATGTCGGAAGTGCAGGAAGCAAAATCCTCGTAACTAGTAGAAGTAAAGATGCATTGGTTGCCCTGGGTGCTGTGAGGCGTATTCCCATATCAGAGTTGAATGATAGTGTCTTTCTTGAACTGTTCATGCATTCCGCACTATCAGGTGCAAACATTGATGAACGGGATCGGAATGTTTTCGCGGAAATTGGACGTGGCATTGCAAACAAGCTGAGGAAATCTCCTCTAGCGGCCAAATTAGTTGGAGGACAATTGCGTATGAGACCAGATGTCGACTTCTGGAGAGATGCTGGTAATAGGGACCTTTTGAAAGATACACGGGGGGCTCTTTGGTGGAGTTACCAGCACCTCGATGAGCAGGTCAGAAGATGCTTTGCTTATTGCAGTATTTTCCCCCGGAGACATCGGCTGAAACGCGAAGAGTTAATTAAATTGTGGGTGGCAGAAGGGTTTATAGAAACTACTGGTGAAGGAGGAGAAGAAGAAGCTCTTGCTGGGAAATACTTTGAGCAGTTAGTGTCAAGCTCATTTCTTCAGCCAGGAGTAAATCAAGAAGGAGTGTTTCATTCCTTTGAATACTTCACGATTCATGATCTGCTACATGACATAGCAGAGGAGGTCTCCAGAAGTGATTGCTTCAGGGTAGAGGATGGCTGGAAAGGTGTTATTCCTCCGAATGTTCGCCATATTTCCATTGAGACTTATAGCCGTGCAATCATTCAGAAGGTTTTGGAAATGGAAAATCTGCGCACGTTGATCATTTATAGTGTCAAAACCGAAATGCTGATTGAGGAAAAAGAGTTCGAAGATATGTTCACGAGGCTGAGGAAATTGCGGGTACTTCATCTTGTAACGGCGACAACATCAAATACATTCTCGTTCCCAGCATCGATTGAAAAATTAAAGCATCTACGCTATCTCAGTTTGCAGACGGGCGAGGCAGTCAAACTCCATCTCAGTTCGCAGACGGACGAGTCAGTCAAACTTATTTTACCAGGCACATTTACCAAGCTTTACCATATGCAGGTGCTGGATTTTATCGGAAACACAGATCTGGTATTTTCCGCTGGTAAAGAAATGAGTAACCTCATCAACTTGAGGCACTTGATCAGCTTTACAAGTATGAATTTTCCAAACATTGGCAGACTAACCTTGCTCCAAACGTTAAAATTCTTCACAGTAAAGAAGGAACCTGGGTACGAGTTACAGCAGCTGAAGCACCTAAAGAATCTGCAAGGCAAGCTGCAGATCGACGGTCTTCAAAATGTTCATAGCAAGAATGAAGCTGTTGAAGCCAATCTAGCTGGTAAAGAATGTCTCAAAGAACTGAGCCTGTTCTGGGAAGATGAGAGCTCCAATCCAAACGAGCAAGAAGAGGTTATTGAGGGCCTTCAGCCACCGATGGGACTTCAAAACCTAGAAATCTTTCGTTACCAAGGTTCTAGGTACCCAAGCTGGATGGTGGATAAGCAGACCGGCCTGAAGAACCTTCGCGTGCTTGCTCTTAGCAACTGCAGACAATTGAAACCTGCTCCAGAACTTTTTGAGCTGTTGGTTCATCTGCAGTCGTTCTCGCTCTGTGGCTGCAGCTGGGACACCTTGCCCGATAATATGGAGCAACTCATGTCCCTCCAAAATCTGATGATCTATCTGTGCACGAATCTCCTGTCACTTCCAACTTTACCCCGGTCTCTGGCGCATCTTGTAATTGGGAATTGCGACCCTTGGTTCACAAGGTCCTGTCAGACAATTGCGCATGAAAACTGGCAAAAGGTCCAGCACATTCCCAACAAAGAAATATTTTGCGACGGTGCTTTATTCGCGATTCTGCGGCAAAGAAATCATTAAATCCAGTTGCTTTGTCCAAACCTGCAAACAGCCCTGAGGTACATTTTTAATTCTCTAACAGAGTGAATTTCACAAAACCCTAGGTTTTGAGGCACTTGTAACACAAAACCACAGGTTCTACTATTTGTTTCAAGAAACCATAAGTTTTGGGGCAAAATGTTTCAAGAAACCCTATATTTACTCAAATACTCATAATTCTAATATTATATATGATTTTTAACTATATGTTTACATTAGTAGGCTCCAAATACACATCCCTCCTATGTAATTTATCTTCTCCCTCACTCTGAGTTGCACAATTGATAAAAACACAACGGAACTTCATTAACAATGACACATTAACCTATTATTTATGCAGATAAACAATCATACTACCAATGACCTATGCTCGTTAAAGTGAGGCTAACATTTATACATACTCAGAAATATCTCGTATTTTTTTCGTAATTACTATGTATAAATATATTAGCCAAAAACGATGATATGGTCTTAAACATGGGGTTTCTTGAAATATTTTGGTCCAAAACCTAGAGTTGTTTGAAACAAATCCTGGGTTTTGCGTTATAGGTGCCCCAAAACTTAGGGTTTTGTGAAATTCACTCTTTTTATCTTGTAAATCCCTTTTGCTGCCTTGTTTTCTGTTTTGCTTATTCGCAGTCCTTCTAGTATGGTTAGCAGCCGTTACTGATGCTGCTTATGTTTGTTAATCCTTCATTACCAGCCTGCCAAACAGACGTCATCCCAAGGATGGATAAAGGATATACGGTCATGTATCCAAATGGTACCTTAAGGAGATCTGTCCGATATATTCAAGATTTGCTCATTGTGATTTGTGGTTAAAGAGTTATATGAGTACTGTACTAGCTACCATATCCTAAATGGTGACAATAAAATGTGAACCATTAATGTATTTTTGTTTCTTGAGTCCAGGATTAGTGTGGAGTGTGAAATCATTGTTATGATTAATATTTGTGATGAACAATTGGCTTTGCAAAATGATTTAATCGATGAATTGGTTTGAAAAGATGTATGGATGTTGGTGTGAGTGCGTGTGACTAATGTGGGTCAGGTTGTGATATCTGTGCCCAGAAACGGTTGTTTTGTCTGATTGTGTGCAGGTGACTTGAGGTCAGCCTTGGTCAATGGTGAGGACCGGGACTATACTTAGGGAGGAGCAGAGGTCTAATGCGGTCGGTGTTAGAATTAATAGATGGGCTAAGGCCCATTCGAAGATTAATTCTTTGAAAAATCACAAAAGCCCACCTCATGAGATAGCATGCATGTGGAGTTTAGTACCACCTTGCTTATTCTAGGAAAGGGGGACCTCCTTAAAAGGGAGGATGCCCTCCTAGCTAGGCCTGCTAATGGTGCAAGACCCGCCCCGCCTCCAGTTCAAACCACAACAGTGAAATTCAATAGTCCAAACCACCCCAATCCACTTACCTTCTTTCATGATCCAAACCAACCCAACCCATTTCTCAGCTCAATCCAAACCAAACCAAACCAAACCATTTCCCCGTTGTGGATTCAATCCACTTCTTCAAACCATTCGAGTCCATTCCAAATCCACTGCTGCAGCGTCGTCAGCTCGTCGCCTCGTGGTCGCCATTGGCGGCGGCAACTGCAGCCGCTGCAACACGGTGTTGGCGCCCACTGGCCTCGGACGCCGCGGCGGAGTAGTCATCGAGCCGGCCGGCGGCCGCTCATCGTCCGCGCGCTTGAGTCCGTCAACGTCGACGGCATCGGCGAGACCTTGTGGTGCAGCTCGGGTTTCGCCGGCGGTGCCGAGCAGCACGTGCTGCCCCTCGCCCCGTTGCGGCGCCGCCGCGCGCATCACCTCCGCCGCCTGAATCCTGACCGCCGCAACCAACTCCTCCTTGGCGACGCCAGCGGCAGTCAACCTCTCCGCCTCCGGTGCCGCCGGCGAAGCGGCCATGACGACGAGCTGGTCATGCTGCTGCATGACAGCGTGCACGCCTGAGAAGCAGAGCGACAACGTGTTGGCCGTCGAAAGCTCCACCACCGCTTCTTCTTGGCAGACAGGCGTCGGCACCGCCGCCGGTGACGACGACGGCGGCGGCTGGCTATCACCTCTGTACTCCTTGCCCTTCCTGTCCTTGCCGCCGGTAGTCCATTGGGGCCAATCCAATGAAAATCCATGGACTCCACCCATTTCAGGCCGAAAACTGGAAACCAAAAACCAATCCAATCCAACCCACCTCTATTCATCATCCAAACCGCCCCAGTCCATTAGGTAGCTCACCCCGTTTACACCCATACCAAAACAATCCAAATTGAAAACCAATCCATTAAACCCATTCTCATCCAACCCATTAGCAGGCCTACTCCTAGCCACTTGAAGCATGTGTGGTGGAGAGAAGAGGGGGAACACGCGCGCGCTCGCTCGGCTGGCCTGGCCTGGCCTGCGTAGATGCAGCCTCCTTTTGCAGTTTTGTTTTGCTGCGGGAAATTCGGATTTGTTTTGTTTTGGAAACATTCCGAAAAATCCGGTGCGTGAAAACGGCGTGGAGTCCGGATAAGCTACGCGCGACTTATCCGGTTCGGTTACGCGGAGTGGAGATCGTGCGGGCGCCCTGATCAAGCGACCTATCTCTATATAAACCGAGCCGCCGCCTTCACGCAACACACGCGAAATCAATTTAGGGTTTGCCTCCTACTCTGTACTGCGCCGTCTCTCGTAGACTACTCCATCCCGCTCGCCGGCGTGCACCGGCGATCGGGAGAGCAGGTCTCCGAACCTCTGCTTTTGACGTCCTGCACCGAGAGAAGGCGGCAATAAGGATTTTGGGAAGCGCTTCACGTGACTGCTCCCTGTTCGTCCGCGACGGCTCGGCTTCCTCTTCGCTCGCGTGCTTCGCGCCTTCGTCGACGCTCGCAACCGCGAGTAGTTCCTGCCGAGCAACCGGTCTTTCCGCCACCTCGGTACGTGTTCGACATGTTGCGCATATTTAATCTGTTCATGTTTTACTGCTTAGTTTACATGTGTAGATCTAATGATGCGTTCAATCTAGTTTACATCTGCAATGTCATGATTTATTTATGGAATAAATTAAATCATTATGTGCTTATAATTTCAACAGTCGGGATACCATGTGAGAAGGTGACTAGAGTCAGGATTCTTGGAGGTCAACTTCGGTGAACGGTGGGGATCGGGACTAGACTCAGGGAGGAGTTGATGTCCAGACGGTCAAGGATACCGGGTGACGAAGTTGGATACGAGATGGCACACGGTGGATGGACACCGTGTGGGAGAGATCTTCGCAACGGGCTTCACGAGGTGTGCGTGCAAGTGCTAGTGTTTGCGAAGGAGATTGGTGTGAGAAATTGAGGAAGAGTATATGGTGCTACAGTACATGTGGTGCTGTAGTATGCGTATATGTGTGTCAACTGTGTCGTGGCTGGCATGCATATATGTGTGGTGCATGCATGGATGCATGTGTGCAGGTCTCGGGCAGCAGCATGGCTGTTGGCCTGTTTGGTATTGATGCAGCAGTCGGCCGCGTGGAGGAAGACGAGACCGAGACCGAGCTGGCGAAGGATCGGTATACGAAGGAGTCCGACCCCGAGGAGGAAATGGCAGTCGCACGGGTTGGTTGCGGCTGCGTGTTTTGAAAGTTTTGGATTGAGTCCTATTGGGAATAGGAGTTCTACACCTACTTTGAGTAGGGGATTTTGTGGTATAAATAGAGAGGGAGCGTGAGGCTTCCCTGTATCGCTTTGTAGAGCAATTGAGCTGATAGTTTAGTTGAGGTTTCGAGTTTAGTCGAGATTTTTGTAAGGAGTGCTGTTGTTGCACTTTGTAAACACAGAGAGAAGCAATAAAATTGTCATCTACTTTGAGAGTTCTTCGATTTGTGTTTCTTCGGGTTCAACCGGCGGCGTGTGAGCGGTCCGACCGGCGGCACGCGAGCGGTCTGACCGGCGGCGACAGGACTACGTCGAGATTTCCATCGATTTGAGGGTAACATTTATTTCCGCTAAAAGTTTTTGGGTTTTTGGTTTTCCCTACCATTCACCCCCCCTCTGATAGGCTTGGTTACTTGTGTTCGATCCTACATGGAGAAAGTTTTCCATTTCCAAGAGAAGATCTGTAATGCGAAAACCTTAGTCGTGTCTGTCTAGTAATGCTGGTAGTATTATTTAATGATCCGGCAATGTAAGAGTGTTTTTATTAAGCTTTGCATAGCTTGCCAAAACTACTCGTCAGGCCATATATATGGCTACCACTTTAATTGTTGATTTAGGCCCTATTTAGATGCCACGCCAAAATTTTTCACCCTGTCACATCAAACGTTTGAACACCTGTATGAAGTATTAAAAACTAGAACGGGATCGTTTATCTGTGACGGGCTGAAAGCCTCATCACTATCGGGTAAGGCCCCCGTCACTGGGCAAATTTCATTGATGTGAGAAAATATCTCAATCGGGCTAAAGCCCGTCACGGATGGATGTTATCTCAATCGGGCCAAAAACAAAGCCCGTCACAGATGAGAATGACCAGCCAAACCAGCGTAGTTAGGAGCCCGTCACTGATGACTAATGTCAATCGGGCACACCACTAAGCCCGTCACGGATGAGTAGTCATCTCAATCGGGCATTTAGCTAGGGCCCGTCACCGATACGTTTGACCCCACGTGTTGAGTCAAACTAGTTCCGGTTCGGATGACTTATCTCTATCGGGCTTACTCTAAAAGCCCGTCACGGATGACTTATCTCTAACGGGCTTGACCCTATAGCCCGTCACGAATGAGATATCTCTTTCGGGCATTACTAAAACGTCAGGGATGAGTTTGGAAAAAAAATAAAAATTTATAATTTGGCTAGCCTCAGGCCTTTGCTAGCCATGCCCGCTGCAAAATTCACAGAAGCATATATATATATATATATATATATATATATATATATATATATATAGTCCCATTCCCAGCAACCCTGTTCCCAGCATCACAGCATTTATATTCCATCACAACACATGCATTCACATCCACATCCCATTCACATATACTCCCTCCGTTTCACAATGTAAGGCTTTCTAGCATTAGCCACATACATATAGATGTTCATTAACGTCTAAATGAATGTGGGCAATGCTAGAAAGTCTTACATTGTGAAACGGAGGAAGTATATGTCATTCACATCCATTTTTCTCTCCAAACCACCGACATGTATCAAAACCTGCAAAACTAAGTTATAAATTGGAACAAATTTATATGTAATTAGAAATGCAAGTATATACAGAGATGAGCCACCTAGGACTTTACTCTAAAGAATTTAATTGTATTACAAAGAATATTTACAAAAATCAAATGTTTGTCGCATATGCATTTTAAATGTTCTGCCATTTCGAGACGAGCTACCTAGGACTTCACTCTAAACATCCCTATCGGTGACAAGAGATCATCTAGTATGAATTGTGCTATCTCCTCTCTAATGATATCGAAGTTGATTTCCGGAATCCTTGAAATTTTTTCCTGCATGTAAGGCGCCAAGTTAGTCTACATACTTGTAAATTTGTCGTCCTATGTGTATAAACAATTGAAGGACACACCTCAGGGTCAAGCAATGTCACCTTGTCTGCGAAGCTCCTCATGTTATGGCAGATATGGAACACACACTGGTCGCCAACTTATTGACGTATTGGGGAGTCTTTCTTGTAGCCGAGTTTGGGATGCCCATCCTTATGCCTCTCGCCTTTTGCCACGTATTGGTCCCATGCCTCGTTCAAGGCAGATTCAATGGCCGACCAATCGTATATTTTTGGATTGATATTGGAGTTAAGGTAGTGTACCAAACTCCACTTCGGCGTTATTACCAGAAGAATCCAATGACGCCTGCGAAATTAATAAATTGCCAGTTACATACTACAGCTGTAGGCGTCACGCATTTGAGTATAAGTAGGATACACGCTTACTGTTGATTATAGGCACACATAATGAAGTCCTTGTCTTGACGGGCAAATAAGTAGTCCTTGATATAGTCCACCATGTTGGCTCGATTGTTTTT